CTTACATTATACTACCTTATAATATAAAGACATATATCTATCTACATTCTACATAATTTATTAAAGTAGCTATCAAGTAAAAATTTTATTAAAATTAAGGTTATTAAGATTATTTTTTGATATATGACACTGAATTATTATAAACTAGCAGCTGCCTGCAGCTCCGCCCGCGTACAATTTTATTTTCTCTGAGTGTGAGGTTTTATTTTGCAACAAAAAAGTATTTTTTCACGTTAAATAGCCTAGTCTGTGTCAACTCTTTAGCTACCTAGACCTCCAACTTTATCTGCGCACAAGATCACGGAGATTTGTTGCTTAGTTTTTACGTGAAAACGTAATAAACAGATCAACATAACACTACTACTGTTTTGTATACAAACTTATTTCCGCATTTACAATATTAGTAGAGAAGTACGAGTTTTGTAGAGCACTATTTTATTCCATTTACATATTAATTAAATTAAATTAGTAATTAAATTAGGTTGAATTTATTTAGTAAATGTAAAAAATTAACATGTATTTTTTCTTAAGTTTTTCACACAACACTTCACTACAGTTAGAAATTTAAATCTTTCACATTGAGTAGCACAATACCAGCTGTTAAAAATAAATTTGAAGTTGATGAATTTAGAAAAAATCAATATCAGGTACCCAAAGTCGAAAAACATGGCAAGGGGTCTACGAGACATAAAAGTTCAGGAACCACTGATCGAAACAATTGATTAAAATAAGTTTAAAAATAATTTTAACTAAATAAAATACTTTATCACAATGAAACGTTTTTTGACCAATAAAAATTGTTTATACAATGAAAAATTGCTTCAAGAACAAAACATTTATCGAACAAATATAACATAAACAAAATACGATATAACATAAATAAAAAACGATTAAATAACATTTTAAACAGTAAAACCATTATATGAATTAATAATATAATTATTTAACCAATATGAAAGGTTTTGGTCCCGCAGTGGACTGATCGTTAAGACACGGTTCCCAGCAGATCACCGAAGTCAAGCATCACTGGCTGCGGTCAGTGTGCGGGTGGGTGACCACTTGGATCAGTCTGCGTAGGGACCGAGGGTGTGCGGTATTGGTCCTCGTTAAACTGTGCTACCGTAAAGTGCTCGACTTCGCGCGCAGGTCGTCGGGCTACCGAAGCGGGGGTGCCATCCCCTCCGCAGAGGATCAAAATTGTGATGGCATGTCTTCGGATCATCCTCCGGGATGTTTCCCAGACCGTCGCCAATAGCCCATTGTGCAGCTCTAGTGCGACGTAAATTAATAACAACAACAACATGAAAGGTTCTGAATGAAAACACTTTAGAAACATTTTAAGATAAAACAATTATTTAAGGAGCAAAAAAATGCTTAAAAAATAACACAATCGATTCAAAAAAAATAACACAATCGATTAAAACAAGCAATTTAAAGTAAAAAAAAAACTGCATGAAACAATAATTATTTTAACAAAGAAACAGTCGAATGAAGCATATTAACAATTTTTAATTAACAATAAACAATCGCTTGAAAATTTGCATACCTGAATTAAACGAAAAAATTTCAATTCTTTATGATTCAAATTAATAAAATAATTAAATCCATTAAAAAAATTGCTTTTGTAATTAATGGAATAAAGCAATTTTGTTATGCTTTTTTTTTAAAAAAATAATTGCGTAAAATTTTCTATACGTCATATCTTTCAAGTTTTATTAAATAATGCACAGAAATTATTATGCATGCGAAATTTTTTTTAAGTAAACGTATTTTAAGAACTAAATAAATTGTAGTAAATCACGTTTATTTCTTAATAATTTTAATCTATACTTTATCACCTTCATTTATACCATATTACGAAAGAAAAAAAGGGGGGTATGATAAAGCCTAATTGTTTCGCATAAAAAACAATTGTTTTTTTTTTCAATTATAAAAAGCCATTGTTTTTTTCTTCTTCTTTTCCTTAATAGGGCTCGATTTGTCACAATAAAAGTTAATGAAACATTTATTTAAGTTGAATAATTAAGTTCATAATAAATAGTGTATCCCATTAAGCTTTTCCCGCAGCTGTCACATCTGTAGTTTGGGTCCCCTGAGGGGCTTGTGACTCTTTCAACTTAAGGATGGGGGGAAATTTTTCTCCACAGTTAAAAGAGAGGATAACAATGCATAGTTTCTGAGAAATACAGTTTCAAATATATGACTTTTTCGAAATTTAATTTTTCAGGTTCTATTCAACCGATTTTGCTCGAATTTTGCATTTATATATTTCAAAATGATGCAAAAAGTTGTATACCTTAATATTCAATTTTTTTGACCATTAATAAATAAAGTGACAAATATTTACTAAAAATTATTTTTAACATGGAATTATGTTTGGATAAATGAATTTTATTAATGAGTGCAAAATTTTTTGAATTCGCTTCTAAAGTTCTCGAGTTGCTCAAGAATTAAAATTAACATTAAGGGGTCCAAATTTTGGAGCGCTCTTTTGACCAAACTATTGGGACCTTATTTCCCAGATTGCGGCTACCCCCTATATTTTTGGGATCAGAAATCTGAATTTCTCGAAAAAGAAGGCCTTTTCATTCAGAGAAAGTGCGTTTTTGTGTCTGATTTTGTAAATTTAAACATCGGCTGCATTTATTAGTTAGCATATTTGAAGTCACCCCCTCGAGGTGTTAAGATTGAATCCTTGAACATGAAGATCTGATCATTAGATTGAAAGTTATTCAGGATTGTCCATTTTTTTGGCACACTGTACAAGCCTGTATAAGGAGAGTTATGAAGCATTACAGATTTCACTCATTTTAAAGTTTTTAAGATATTACCAAATAAGAAAAAAATGAAATTAAAATTACCGATCTCCTGACTAAGCTATTAGGACCTTTTTTTCCAATTTGCAACCTTTTGTTTCGTTGAAATTAGAAATTAGTTTATCATTGCGGCAGCAGTCTCATTATATTAAGTTTCTTCACTATACCTGAACATTGGTATACAACTAAAGTGGTTAGAAAATCATGCAACGATCCAGGTGGTTTTTGGTTTGAAAACGTTAAATACTTTTATAAAAATGTGTTAAATATTTTTTACAAATGGATTTTATTCAGGAATATTGAAAAACGCTTTCTTTTTAAAATTTTTTTGCTTGCTCACTGGATAAAAAATTATTCGTAATTGTTTCCAATAAATTAAAATATCCTAGACGACTTTAAAACGATTAGACTTTAAAATCTTCATCCATCAAATTTCGTTTAATAACCACATAACCAGTAACATAAGTAGATCACACTATTAAATTTGTGTTGAACTATCTCTAGATAGTTCTCCAAAAAAGTGTGTGAATGAATACTTTTTTTTTAATCAAGTCAACACTAAATTGAGCTTTCATAAGCAATTAAAGGGTATATGAAAGCTCTAAACACCTAAAATGTGAAATATTTACACCAAGATCACACGCATTTAAATTATACGCTAAATATTTTAACCTTTTTCCCATGGGCTGTGATACAACAGTTGTCCCATCAGTAATTTAGGTCCTCTGAGGGGCTTGTGACACTTTCAACCGATGAATGGGGGAGGAAATCTTCTCCACATTTGAAAGTGAGGATAAAGTTACATCGACAGTTGCATGAGCTTTATTGTTTCAGGCACTGCTGAAGGTCTCACTTTCCTTAAGATAAGGGGAAAAACTTCTTTACATTTTCCACCTAATTTTGAGCATACAAAGTTTCGTTCGTGCCCCTTTCATTTTTTTGTCTGTTGTATTTTTGCTAATGTTTTCATATAGATAAATATTTCAAATTTATTTTTTAAAGATTCAGCTTCTTTATTATAGATTTATTTTAACGTATATCATTTTCAATTAAGCATTCATAATATCAAATAATGTAAGTGGAAAAGCTATTGTTCTAAGTGAATTGCTTCAATTTGAAATAAATATCTAAGTAAACTATTTCAAATAAAAGAAATCAATAAATAATATTTTTAAGATTTGTTTTTTATTCTTATTATAAAAAACTACATGATTTTAAATAAATACGTTATATATTGCCGCATGAAAAGGCATTGGTTTTATATCTATTTATATATTTGCTACTTAAGAGCTATAACATCATACGTAGTTTAGACTAAAAATACCTTTGAATTATGGCATATTTCTGTTACATGCATTTTTTATACTAGTGATTATTCTATACTTTTGTAATTGAAATTATGTTATTTTAAATTTTTTCCATCTATAATCATTATCTTTTGTATCTATTTTAAAGTTTCTTTTTTCTCCTAATGCAACATTAGAGTTTTACAGTGAGTTAAAGTTTCAATAAAGCCTTATAAAATATCTTGTATATTTATTAAGATGGTGAACTTTAAAACTTATGACTCTTATGCGTGAATTACCATATTGAATTATTAAACATTATTAAACTTTTTATTTTATGATCGTTTATAGCTGAAAGAAATTTTCTCTTAAAAAAATTTTCAATGGAGTAATAGTCAGTTGTGCAATTTCACTGACATTGTTCAAGTTATATAAGTAAATAAGAAGTGTATGAATTATTGATGTAGGTCTTTGCTGTAAGTTCAGTTGAGGAGAAATTATTAAATGAAAATTCTTAATATAACACTTAGGGATCCAAATACCTTTAAAAAACGTTAATTTAGAGTGCAAGATGGTAGATTAGAGCATGAGAATTAAGTATGAACGGATAATATATGCCGATCAATATTAACCGACTGTTTTAATCACGTGAAGAAGGCGAAACATTTAAACTGATTTACATACTATATTAATTTATAAATATCCATTATGTAAACTTGAAAATAAATTATATAACGACAACTAGATATACATTAAATTGTTCACAAAATGAAAAAGAGTCAAATAAATGCCAGTAATAATGTTCGGATGATTTTTTTTTTCAAATTTGTAACAGAAACGTTGCATGAATAAAATAATTTATAACTACTTTATTTGAAATTTTTTTCTTCCTCTTTAGATTAAATAAAAACAAATGAAAGAAAACATGCGTTCGATCTGGAGCAAGTATGATACTCCTCTTTAGAAAGTGCATTTGAGGTGACATTAGAGACTTTCCTGCTGGTAAAATCAAACTCCATCAGAACCAGTAAAGAGTTCAGAAAGGATAACAGCAGAGAGTGATACTCCTTTGGTTGCAAATAAAAACCATGAAGCACTTAAAGGGATCTAGCATTTTAATATGCTGTGCTATTTTCCTGTTCTTTGTTTCGGTCACCCAAGCTGACGATACAGTTTCAAATTCTGTAAATAATGAGAAAATGAGCAACTTGACAGTTCTGGATAAATGGAAAATGATGGAAACTGGAGCAAAAGAACTAGCTAACAAAGGTGTAAAAGCACTGCTTTCACAGTTGGTGACAGGGGAAGGAAGACTCAACATCTCATCTCAATGCATGAGGGAGGGTATGCTGCTGATTTCAGGCTTGAAAAACATCAAGCCATGGGCCATCAGATGTAAGTATAGTATTGCTTCAACTTACAAAACATTCATAAGCTCTCGAGCTCCTTATCTTTTTAACTAAAAAAGCTGTACTTCTTAAAGAATTCATCTATGCTCTTTTGATAGAGAAAATAAGAAAAAAATCACAGTTAGATTGACGGCATTGATTTCGAAGGAAAGCTAATATTTTAAACTATATCTTGCTGAAAAGAATAAGTTGGTTCCTTACATATATCCGTTACATAAGGGACAAATAATTTAAGTATCTAAATAATTAATTTAAAAAAAAAATCCTCAATTTCACGCGAATTTCACACCTAGATGGTAATCATTAAAACAAGTTAATAATTGATTTTTTGAAATAACTTTTTAAATATATATATAGATTACAATACATTGACTTTTCTTCATACTGATGCTTTGAGACAATTTATTGCGAGCATAAGGAATGTTGACTAAATCTAAATTTGGGTGAAACTTAACCTAACAATTACTGTATATACATATACTTTTCTAAGAAAATGCAGTTCGACATTACACCTTAATACTAATATTTTCAAACATAATATCATGAAAATTTTGTTTAGTTTTAAGAAGATATTAAATCAATCAAAACCAGATCAAGGTTAGTACAAATGTTTTCAATATTATATTTTAAGTGCTTCAAATTTTTTTAATGGGTGGCAATTTTTTTACTACCCTCTTAGCTTGTGATATTTTGTTGCGAAAACTTAAATAACATTTGTATTATTTGAATAAATTACATTGCTTCAAGATTCTTAGTCTTCCTGTGTTACCCAGTATTTTAATATTTTACAAAAAATAAAGTTTAAATTTTTCTAATATTTCAAATAAAACCCTTTCATAATTACTTTTATTACAGTTATTGACAGTAGCGCTAAAATAATTGATGGTGCCTTGACTGGTTCTATGTCTTCATTTGGATCCTATGATGAATGCGTAGACACCATAGTGAGGAGTGAAAAATCACGTGACAAAGGAAAAATGCTCTTCAGGGGGCAATACTGCTCAATTGATATCCGACCTCCTCTACCACCAGTTAAAAACTTCTACAAATTACATGACGTATTGGATGAGTTGAAAAATTTTTCTGAAGGTGGTACGGTAAGTGGAATTTTCAAATATTTTGAGTTTAACAAAAGGGTACACAATTTTACACTCAGAAATTTCAGTATACATTTCGTTTATAACTAAAAAAAGAGTAACTGTAACGAACTTCAGCAAAATTTTTAGAATTGATCCTATATGTATTTTGTTGTTATATGAATCCTTTTAACTGAAGTCGGAGGTGTACACATGCAATGCTTACTGTACCAGATTGCGGACGCAAAGGTGCTTGGTTCAAACCAGTTGGAGCCAAAAATCAACTCTCTACATTTGTGAATATGTAGTTCTCAGACTCCTCGATAGATGGCAGCACTACGCTTTGCTTTCGCTTTGTTTCAAAATTCACTTTCATTCCCCGAAAATATTGCCTGAGTCTCAAGCAGCTTCAAGGTCCAAATCGAAGATAACATTTACGAGTATAGCATTAAATTAAGGTCAGAGGCTATATATTTAATAGATTTAGTATATAGCCTCTATATATAGCTAGATAAATATGTAGCCAGAGGCTATATATTTAATAGATTAAATATAAATTTAATAGATTATTTTTACGGTCAGTGATCAGAATACTTTTTGCCTGTCACTCATGGAAAGCTGGCGGTAAAATTTACGAAATTTTTTATTATTAGAATTAAGAAAATTTAAGAACATTCGAAATTGTAAGTCTTTTAACTAACAGATTTACTGGCATTGTCCAGTTCAATTATAAAATAAATAAATAAATTTAAAAAATATTAGAAACATTTTGGAAAAATTTTAAACAGTAATTTCTACGTTTCTTTTCTAAACGCAGTCAAGGTCGCCTAAGCTAAGTTTTCTTAAATCGAGCCTTGACGTTGTTTAAGAGGGAAGAAATTTGTTTGTCAAATCATAGGGATTCCAGAAATGCGGGTGAAATGGTGTTGAGAATAAGGAAAATGTGTGTTCACGTTGTTCGTGGTCACCAATGTAGAGAGAGCGCCAGAGATTGGAAGCCGAATTGGTTTGAACCCGGGTCCTTTGTGACCGCAGTCTGATGCTGTAATTGCTTTGGTGAGTACTTTTCCAAATTAAATTGGAAAACTTTCAATAAATAATAGTAAAAATTAACGGTGTACACTACTAATTTCGCTGAAGTTCGTCAATCACAGTCCTGCACTTATTCTAAAAAAAAATGGAAGATGTCTGTAAATTAACAACTAGCGCCAAATGTTTACAACAAAACAGATTTAGATTAACCGCCAACCAACGGAATTAATTTTCTTTCTAGTTTGTTTGCTTTTATTCTGGCGGCTATTATTTACAAGACGCCTGTTTCTAGGCAGAAGAGAAAATAAAACTTAAAAAGAAAATAGCAAATATTTTAATTGTATTTACACAAATAAAGTTCAGAAATAATTATCTTTCAACAACTTAATTTCAGGTCATAAGTGAAGCAGCAAAATATGCCCATTTTTTTTACTTCTTGTCCTTAAGAATGGGAATATGTGTTCCATCCGGGTGCAGTTACGACGACATTTCAGAAATAACAAATTCAAGTAAGTTCATCTTTATTTTTCAAAATATGAACTAATTTTATTGCAGGGCAAACATACGAAACGAATACAGTTTTATCTCTTAAAACATGTTTCTATAAAAATAGATATTTTTAATGAAATACTGATAACAGATAATATTCATATCTGCATATTAAAAAATAAATCTCTGTTAAAAATATTTTATTTATTTATTTATTTTATTGCATAAATGTTTTGTTCTCAAGTAAAAAAAAATATTTCACATAGACGTTAACAGTATCCTCATTCATGCAATTATATTTTTAACTGATGATAAAAATATTTTATTTATTTTATTACATAAATGTTTTTCTCTCAAGTAAAAAATTATTTTACATAGACGTTAGCAGTATCCTCATTCATGCAAATATATTTTTAACTGATGTTAAAAATATTTATTTATTTATTTAATTTATTGCATAAATGTTTTGTTCTCACATAGACGCTAGCAGTATCCTCATTCATACAATTATATTTTTAACTGATGCTGAAAATATTTCATTTATTTATTTATTTTATCACATTAATGTTTTGTTCTCAAGTAAAAAAAAATTTCACATAGACGTTAGCAGTATACTCATTCATGCAAATATATTTTTAACTGATGTTAAAAATATTTATTTATTTATTTATTTTATTGCATAAATGTTTTGTTCTCAAGTAAAAAAAGATTTCACATCTAGGGTAGTAGTATCCTTATTCATGCAATTATATTTTTAACTGATGGCTTAAAAAACTTGAAAGAAATAAAAAGCTGGCAAAAATTAATTTTGCAAGCTTTAAAATTAATTAATTAATAAAATTTGCAAAATTTGAGATTTTTCTGCTTGTTTGTTTATAATATCATTGTAGTATAGACATTTTTTGATGTTATTATGTTAGTTATATTCAAGTCTATTATATATAAAGCTGATGATATCGACATAGTTGGAAGAACAAAACGCTCAGTCATTGACGCTTTTGTAGCGCTTGAGAGTGCGGCGAAGGAGATGGGACTAGTTATAAACGCAGACAAAACCAAGTTTTTGATCGCAACAAATAAAACTCCTGATCGATCTCCTCTGGAGATAATGACTTACTCTTTTGAAACTGTTAACCAGTTCAAGTACCTAGGAACCTTGATCTCTAGCCACAACAACCTGAAAATTGAAATAAATAACAGAATTTCCATGGCTAACAGAAGTTTCTACGGCCTCAGAAACCAACTGAAATCCAAGTTCATCAGTGTGAAAACAAAGTTAAACATCTACAAAACTTTAATCAGGCCTATAGCTACATATGGAAGTGAGTGCTGGACCCTAAGCAAAACAGAGGAGGAAAAACTGCTAATTTTTGAAAGAAAAATTTTGAGGAAAATCTTTGGATCTCTTCGAGAGAATAACGTATGGAGAATTCTTTACAACCACGAAATTTACAAAAAATAAGACAATTTCGGTGGGACCGACATTGTGAGAACTATTAAAGCATCACGCATTAGGTGGCTGGGCCACCTCTTCAGAAATTCTGATGCCGTCCCTGCCAAAAAAGTGACTTTTTCCACAATTGAAGGGACGAGACGTAGGGGACGACCACCTACAAGATGGATAGACGACGTTGAAAAGGACCTCAAGCTATTGGGAGTCAACCGATGGCCGGCCGTCGCACCGGACAGGGCCAGATGGAGGAAAATCTGCGAGTCAGCCTTGGCCTGTGAAAGGCTGTTGCGCTTATGAAGAAGAAGACGATATATAAAGGAACTAAAACTGAACTCCTTTATTGAGTTGCAAAATAGGAATATTTTTTTTGTATGAGCAGGTTTTTCTTAAGTTTAATGTTATAATAATATCTGCTTAATAATGTGAGAGATAATTATTTTTTTTATATCTTAATTATCTTGCTTGGCAAATTCAGCTTTGTTTAGCATGGGTGTTATTGAAATTTTATGATTTATTTGAAATCTCTCGAACAAAATGACAATTTCTTTAATTGTTAGCAGAATCGTAGAATAACATTTAAATAAATTGTTATTTAATGTTATTCTACGATATTCAATCAAAACAGTAAAATGACCATAAAGAAAGATAGTATGCAAAATGTTACCACTGAGAAAAAACCTTTATTTTCACCGAGTATGGTTAAACAACCAGAATATTATCCGTGCCAGGTAGGTCCAATGTCTAATAATTTTACCGTAATAAGTGGGTTAAGAATACCTTATGAAATTACTTAGTTCCTTGCAGCTGGTTACATACTTTAGGTGAGAGGACTAATCTGTAAATCTCGTGACCATCTGAACAGGGGTTTGTATCCAAGCATTGACAACGCAAAGTTAATTTTATTCCTTTAACACATGACGAGTTTCTACAGTCCTTTATTCCTTAAAATCTTACCCGGGACTATTGGAATACTGAACTCTCATTGACGCATATATAGATACACCAAAGAGCCTTTTAGAACAAACAAATTCAGTATTTCCCATCTGTCACAGCAGATGGCACCACTAGATTAATTAATACACCACATTCTACGGTTTATTTGACAAAATACAACTCAAATGTAACCTAACCCCAATGTTCATGACCTAACAAAAAACCTAACTCTAACCTAAATCTAACTCTAAACCTAACTCCAATGTGGAGCTAAATTTCTTTTTTACGGTATAAATACCACGCTAGTTGTAACTGGTTACAAAACCGAATAATTTTGTATTCACGCTTTTTGGACAGTGTCAGTTTCAAACGGTTTCAAGCCCATAAAGGTAAAGAAATGTTGCAAGCCTAAACTATTGAATTAACTGGATGTACAGATTGCTGCCATTCATTTTACAGTAATTTTAGAATTAAAATTCTTTCCGTGAATAATATGATTTTATATTCTTTTTTGCAGTTAGTAGCTATCTAACTCTGGATGTACAGACTCTAAGATGTGAAATAAAGCAAGTAAACGAGTTTACACCAATTAAAATATTTACTATGTAAGTTCATTCTTCTATTCTTGACTTGCTTCGATTGTATGTCATATTGATAACTTTAAAAAATATTTCTTGATATCAAAGTAAACTATATTAAGAAAAAGTATTGATTTATTGAAATGGCATTTGGTTCAGAATGAGCTAGTGAACTTCAACGAAAAAATTAGTAATAAAGAAACAATTAATTGCTATTTAAAAACTATGTATTACTTGAGATACTAGGAGTCTTCGCTCACCAATTCTCATATTGCTTAGCTTTTATTCGTTTTTCACTTTCACTTATTTTCCCTTATTTGTTTTTCACGTTTTACACGAAAACATTGAAACTTTGCCAATAAAATGCAAAGTTATTATATTTTTACGCAGCAACATTTTGTTAGTTTTCGTGAAGAAATGAGCGATTTAAAAAATAATAACGAAATTAATTAATCTTTGGAAAACGGAATGAGCAGCACAAGAACATATGAAAAAAAGCTAATTTTTATCAATAACAATATTAAACGATAACATTAAGTAATTACATCAATTCTAATAGAAAATAGTCTTTATCTCTCTTCGATTTTTGACTCAAGTTTTATATAATTTTAAAATTTTAAATTTTAACATGCCATACCAACCAACCTTTGACCTGCCTTTCTTAGTCTGTGTTGTTACTTGCGAAGATAACTAAAGAGCAAACCTATAAAATAAAAATATCGAGATATGAATAAAATTTTTACAATTGTATTTTTTTATTCCATTGTTCTCCATGTACATTTTTTACACCTCATCATATTGTTAAGCTTCTAAGTCTTACAGATACGAAATATATATAGTTACGTGAAATATATATTTTGTTGCTTACAGTAACACATAACAGAACGTAACTTAAAATTGAACACCTAAAACAGCTCCAGCGGTAGCGAATCTTACGATATTTCTTTAATTTAGAGAAGTTTATTGTTATTCAGTCATAAAAAAATATCATACAGTTTGTAAAATTTTTTATGTATATTCTCTATTTCGTAAAATGAGACTTTATTTAAATTATATTCTTTCTAGGTTTGTTTACTCCTTTGCTGGCTTGTTTATGTTGATTGGATCATCAATAGACATGTACTCCTATTATACCAAAACTGCATTCAAAGGTATGTTTGAATGTTTTTATTTTTATTGTCACAGTGATAGTAATGTTTCTCTGATAAAAAAAAAGTTATTTCTTTAGATCCTAATGCATTAACAAAATTAAATTTGCTTCCAAACCACTTAAAGACAGACAGACAGATGCACAGACACGCACACAGAGAAAGAGAGAGAGAGAGAGAGAAAGAAATTGAGAAAGAGAGAGAGAGAGTGAGAGATTGAAACCCGATTTCTACCAGTATTTCTGCGTCTAAACAAGCCTTGACTCTGGGCACACGAAAAAAACCCTAAAATGGCTTCCCTGACTGCGTGGTTTCGCTTGCCAACGCCCTGAAGCGGCGTGGAGGTAGCTGGTTTGAGTCCCGTCTTAACCTTATTGGTTTATTGGAATTACATACATTGTCAGGCTTGTGTGCTTAATTCAGGCTTGTAAACTTTGTCAAATTGAAGGACAGGTAGCACAATACACAGAAAGGCAGCACGAAGATACATCCAGGGTAACAGTGAGATTCGAACCCGTTACCTCTACACTTTCTCACAACGTTAGGCGGGTAATACCACTTGGCCNTATATATATATATATACCAGTGTCGTCCGTTGAAATTTGATCATAACCAACTGCACCCAAGTCTGAGCCCGTATAGGACTCTTAAAGTATACGAGATCTCAGAGCCTTATGTTCGATTTTGCAATGAACAAATTATTTTTATGGAACACGAAGCCTAATCATATAGAACTCATCTACACAAAGTGAATAAATTTGTTCGATAAATTAACCAGTCATTTCTGTAAGCCTCAGCCATATAGAACAAGCCTTGGATGATCTGAGGAGGGGGACTGCACTTTGTGATCACCAATCAAAATGAAGATCTTTTAAGCAGCTTTTAAAAAAATTGGAAACAATTAGCTCAGGATTCTCTGCTGAATAGTTATATTTTTTGCATTATGTGAAACTATACCCAAACAAAATTTTCATTCAAATCAATTCAATTTGGTGAGAACTATAATACCTATCTACAGAACTCCAACCAAGCCTATAACGTATCTTATTTCTTAGCACCACTGTTATAATTCTAGAACGAATTCCGACTTTTAAAAGGAAATTGTAATTATTTATTAAAATAACATGATATTCGTTTTTATAAACGTAATAAAAATTTTTAGTAGGTTTATTCATAGTAATTCACAGTTAAAAAATGAGTTATGAAATAAAATATTCATTGCAGTAGTTTTCACTAAGTATTGTATATGTTGCTTCCTAGGTAAAATGATTTAAAATATAGTGAATTAATTTCAGGCACAGGTATGAGGGTTCTCTTATCATTTTCATTCATTTCCAACTTCAAGAAATTTGTGAATACGAAAAGTACTTCTGATACCCTGAGCTGTTTGAATGGGATACGTTTCCTCTGCATGAGCTGGATCATTCTTGGACACTCATATTTGAATGTTAATTTTCAGATATTTTGTAAGTCTCTTGAATAACTTAAAATTATCATGCAAAATTTTCATAACATGTTTAAATAAATTTTCTGATTGATATTTTGCTCCACTTGGCTAGTAATATAATAATATGTTTTTATGTTTTTATAAATTGTTTTGAAATTGGAGATATTGTATTTAATTTGTAAGAAATTTTGAATATTAAAGACACACAAATACCATCGGGGCAAAACATTTAAATGTTTAATTGTGAAGCTTTTTATTTAGATTTATCTATGTATCAATACAAAAATGTCAGATTTAAAAAAAAAAAAATTGGCCAAAAAGACCGAAACTTTTCTTTTCTTCAAAATTACATAACTTTATTAAAACTCATTATGTTTCCTTTATTAAATTCACCAATTCACTTATTAAAATCATTATATTTCCCTAATTTATCATTAAAATTCATTACGCATTAGACACGAAATTAAGTTTTTGGTATTTTACAGCAGACATAGAAACTTATTTGGCAAAAAGGGACAAAATTTGCAATTAATTATTTTTATTTTATCTTAAAATATAAAATAATAATAGTTTAGTTCATTAGACCATTGTCTATTTTTGAAACATCTGCACAGAAAACATTCATGAAAAATTTAAAGTAATTTGAACTAAAGTATTTTGAGATATTGCATTAAAATATAAGGAAATACAACTGAAAAATTAGTTTTGAAAAAAGGGATAACTAAGACACAGTTATCGATTTAATAACTATTAGAGATATTTTTTTAATCATCATAATTTCTGTTCTGTTTGACGTCGAAACAAATATCAAACGATTTTCGAAAGATTAAAAATCTATGTTTTTGTTTAATATAAAAAATAAATAAATAAATGTCATTTTCGTCAAAATTGGCTTAGAAAAGGAGTTGTCAAACTATAATATTGTTAAAATTTGCGCAATTTTTACAGGATGATATGGGCTGTTTAGAAAAATAAATAACAATGAATAAAAATTCATCAAGGGAGGTTGATGAGAGTTAATTATAAAATTGAACTAACTCTTTATTTATTTTAGGGAATTTCATAAACTTACATGCATATCTAACAATATTGATAATGATGTTACGTTCTATTTCTATAATGGGTTCTTTTAATGAACAAGTCTGATGAACGAATTTAAAGATGATTTATTTACAGAAGATGAAAAACACAAATAAAGAACAGATATATAACATTCCTTATTCAGGCACAGATATCGTAACTTAAAATTCACAAGTTATCCTACAAACTTAAAATTCCATTTTATCTGATTTCCGTCGAAAAGAGCATCACAGTCTGGCGATTACTGTTAAAAGCGATGAACTAAATCATTTATTTGAAAACGACAATAAATCAAAAAGCGATGGGTGATCTAGTTACGCCAATGATGTTTTTCTGTTTTTGTTCATTGGTATGATGTTCTTTTTTTGTTATCACTGTTGTCTTTAAAATAACTAGTGGGCTGCTCCCACTGCTCGCTAACTCTCGCCAACCCCCGAAAATTGCTACGCAATCTTATATGGTTTGCTTCGCAAAACAAGCTCGCTTCGCTCGCTACTAACTTAGGTACATTGCAAATGTACAAAATTCTAAGAATTCAAAACAATCATTCAAATTCTTATAACATCTTTTTTTTAAAAAAAATTCACATCTTTTTAGTAAATACTAAGTCATTAAGATAAATTTGAATTCAAATAAATGACATGCAATTCGTTAAACCTATTAGAAATGTGCTATAGATTAAAATCTTAAAGCGTAACGACACGACTGAGACTTATTTTTCAATGAATAACTAATAACAATAATAAAACAAATAAATTCCTGATATAAATCAAAAATCGTCAAATAAATTCGTAATATGATTCGTGAAAAAAAGTGCTTTCGACAAAATACTAAAATAGAGATCTATCGACAAAGACTACTCACTTCTGCCTAGCTTATGCTCTCTCTGGTTATTTCAGTTTCCGTTTTTAAAAGCGCTATATGTTGAGCCCTCTCAGCTAGATTTAGCATGTGACATTTTTAGTGGCAATCATTGGTCGATTTTCTAACGTTGCCATTCGGAGAGTTGTAATGAGGGTTTTTTTTTGTCACCGTGCAAGAGAAATATATATATAGGTAAAAATTTGTTAAGTTTTTTAACGTTGATATTAGCAGTTTTTTTTAAAAAAAAATAGAGTTGTGTTTTAATCAGTTCTAGTTTGTGCTTTAACAATTACGGCATCCAGCAGTTTCCATGGAAAAAATCCTGTGCATAATTGTCATAGTAGGATGCCTAATAACTCACTAGGTACAATTTACGTAATTACTTTGAAACTCACATAATCATTGATGTTTTTTTTAAACTTCCTGTACAAAGTTTGCAAGCGAAAATTAAATTATGATTTACAAACTATGCAGAATGCAAAATCATAAGCTTTTTTTACATAATAATTTGTTTATTCTTTAATGAGTAGTTTATGAAAGTAAAATTGTTCTTTTGCAGTGGGCTTAGAAAAAGTTCGAGCATATGCTAAAGATTTTGCATTTCAAGCAGTCATTAATGCTTCCGTTGCTGTAGATACATTCTTTTGCATGGGGTGAGTCTTAAGTGTTTTATAAATAGTACACTATAGAGCATTATAGAATATTTTACCACATTAATTTTCATATTGGTTTGGTTGTCTTCCGCATAAAGTTGATATAAGTCATAAAGGCATTGTTTTCGTATAAATATTTTTACATCCCTAATTTAAATCTATTTTTCCTGTACTGTTATTATTACGTTTTTGATTTTTGTTTGTTTTCTAAATTAAGAGTTTAAAAGAATTGTTTTTTTTTAATTATAATTAATAGAATAACGTACTTCTGCCTTACATTTTAAGGTAAAGTGATTTGGGAAAAATATACTTGAGGGTGACCCAAAGGCGACTTATGTTTGGCGCTATTCCTGTTTGCGCGGAACACCGTGGTAACAGGAATGGCTGCCAAAACATAATTATATTTCAATAAAACATTGGAAAATTTCACCAAAACATGGGCCAAAACTTGCAATGAACCCAATATAAGCAAAATTAATAAACCCAATTAAAATTTTGAATTGAAGCAAAAATTAATGGAGTAGACGCAGAGAGAAAAGGAAAAAAAAACTTATTTCTTCATTAAGCTTGAATATTCTCAGATTTAGGTGCACAGAATTATCTAATAATAGTTAGATACTGTCTAAATTTATCATGAATAGAATCTGTGTACCTCCATCGTCACATAAATTAGACGAAATACGAATCGAAAATGGCGTCTGTAATACCGGACTATCGGTGAAATTTTTTTCTTAAATCCCTTTTTATGACTGTCCACATACCTTAGATCTTATTTACCAGATTCAAAAGTAATCTTACCAGTCGGTATCCAACGTAGAACTAACGGACCTCTGAAATAACATATACCTTTGAACATTTAAAAGTAACGCTAAAATCTAAACCAATCAGAATCACGATTGGGTTTCCACTTCCCAGCTTGGCGATCAACCGCGATCACAACTTAACGAGAATCAAGGGGCACCCTCAAATATAGTCTTCCCATTTTATGTTTACAAGGAAATTTTGCTTATTTTTTAACTGAATATCACGTACTGTCATCTGATAAGAATATTAATATATTATCTAAACCGTTCAAATGTTTTGCAGTAAAAATTTATTAAAACAGTAACAAGTCTTTCAATTGTTTTTAGGGGTCTTTTAGTGTGTTATTTGACCATAAAACTAGTCAAAATCCAGGGACATCCTTTCAACATTACAGTCTATATATTGCATAGACTATGGAGGTAAGTAAGCTGCTTTTGAGAAAAATATTGTTATGCATACATGCACACGATTGGTTTGATATTTATAATTTTATTTTTATAGCTTTATTTCACATTTTATATAGTGTAATGTAACATACATGAATTGCTTGATTTTTCCATCTTAATGTGAATTGTAAAATTTAACTTATTTCAACAGAATTAATGAAGCATAAGTTCTTAGAATTCTGTATGAGCATTCTGTATTATTCTAAGCATTCTGATTCTATTAACCTTATCCAAAAAAAAAAATTTTTTTTTCATTGTAGAAACATATAATCGGTTATATTAACCATGCAAACTTTAAAGTCCGTAAATTTTGCAGCCATCTAAATCGGGTATTAAATATCCAAATCCATATTATTCTTCATACATCCATATTATCCTGTAAATAAATCCTTCTCAACTCAATATGGATAGTATGGTTCAACTTGATATACAAGTAGATATTAGGATTTAGATACTACGGTTCTACTTAATATAGATATTATAGTTCAGTTATTGTTCAATTTGATATAGATATTATGATTTAGATAGTATGGTTCCACTTGATATAGATGTTACAGTTTAGATACTACGGTTCAACTTGATGTAGATATTATGGTTTAGATACCGTAGTTTAACTTTAAATATATATAAGGGTTTAGATACTACGATTCAATTTTATATAGATATTATGATTTAGATACTATGGTTCCACTTAATATTTATATGGTTAAGATACTATTGTTCAACTTGATATAGATATTATGACTTATATACTATGGTTAAACTTTCAACAAAAACACGGTTGTTCAATTTAACATGTTATTAAGGTTAGAGTAAAATTTTAAGAGTACAGTGCTAAAAAATGAATTTGTCCGATAATATTTTCAAATTTGCACAGTATAAAAATTATAGTAAATTTGAACAACATTATGCTTATAGCATTCCGAAACTTCTTCTAACTAAACTTAGCGTAAAGAACTACTTCTTATATGCTATCCTTATGTATGTACGGACATTTGTCAAATAAAAGTATATCAAATACTTTTAGAAGTTACTCTTTCATTTGTAAATCAAAAATAGAGTAATAATAGTGCGTATAATTCATCATTATTAGACTCTATTTATATATTAGACTCTTTTAGACTCTGTTATAAAAAATGTCTATTACCCAGGTAGATCGCATACTAGGATAATACCGAAAAATCTTTACATTTTAAACTTGTCAAGAATTTTTTGCAGGTATTAAAAAAAAGTTCTACATACCTCGTTGTTGAATTATCCATGTTAAGATTTTTTTGCCGTGATTGCATAAAAATATCTTTTCCTTCTTAGGTTATAAATTGCAGAAAAAATCAAGTTACACAAAACTTCAGTATTTCATGACATGGCTTTCGATAACGATGATTTATAATTAATACTTAAATTTAGAATTAAAATTATCGAAAAAAATATTTTACTATTAAATTTAGGCTAATATTCTATTTTTGTCATTAAGGATAAGTTAAAAAAATGTCTTGTAATTAAATGTACAAATTTATCTCAATTCCAAAATAATAATAATACTAATAATAATAAATTAAATGCTATCTTAATACTAGCAGCCTTTGGTCACCAGCTTGGTCACTTTTCACCTTTCAAAATTATCTTGCACAGCATATAAACTGTAAACCAAGCCAAAAACGGCACAGTATAGCTGTATTCAGATATTCTAATTCTACAACTTCACCTTCAATCCTAAAACCTTTATTAGGTTTAAACAATACATAAACCAAACTTTTTCACCACCTAGCTGTTTCCCGCTCTCATGTACTTTGATTTCAATTTTAAATATTTTTAAAAAATGTCGGCTGTCGATTTTATTATTATTTAATATCCGTCTGTCAACCATTAAATTACACAAGTCACCGCATGCATGACTTTTTTGCATAGTGAGCTATTGCTCGAAAAAGGCAAGCTCCGGCACTTATAAATAATTGGTATGACAGTATACAGAACCATACCCCCTTTCATTGTTTAAAATTCTTTCAGTCATTTTAGACGAGATCAAACATGTATCCAAATAATTACTTCCTAACTAAGTTTTTATTTCTTTAAAATAACAAACTTATTCTAAATAAATAGTTAACGCATAACTAACCATTGAACATTACTTAAAATATCACTTAAGACATCCAAAAAAAAATCTAAACAAATACTGAACGTATAGCTAATTTTCAATATTACTTACATTCTTACTCAAGACACCCTAAAAATATATAATAACTATAATGTTTGCAATTTATATAGAGAAATACCCAAGTTTGTAGTGCCTCATAAGATATAAAAAATTGCAAAATAAGCAATGAAATTGAGCAACAAAAAATTTACAAATATCTAGTAATTGAATATTTTAATTTAGTTTAATTGAGTAATAAACAGTACACAAAAAACAAACTACCCTGAATTACTTTTGATCTAATGATCGGATGTTCACGTTCTAAGACTCAATCTTAATGGTTTGTGGGGGTGATCTCAAATATTCTAATTAATTAGCGCAAGCGATATTTTAAGAAGAAAACGATATTTTAAGTTATGAAATCAGACGTCAAACGGACATAAATTTTTAAAAAGTCGTATATTAAAAATTTAACTTCTTAAGAACCAACCGATTTCCCTCACATTTTGTATTTCTCCCTGTAAAATTATCAACTTTAGAAGGGTGTAAAAATGTATTCAGTACAATTCACAAAATTTTCGATTATTATTAAATAAAAAAATAATAAAAAATTATAAATATTTACAAAAAATTTTGTTGTTGCTATCTTCGGATAAACGAATTTTATAATTGTGCTCAAAAAGTTTTCAGTTCGCTTACAAATTTCTAGCGGTATGGCAATATACACAAAAGTAAAGTTAATGTTAAGAGTTATGAACTTCGAATGGCTCTCCTGACCAGACTATAGGGACCATATTTCCCAGATTTGCGGCTACCCCCCTATATTTTGGGGGTCAGAAACCCGAATCCGTTTAGAAAAAAGGTATGTTTATTCAAAGAAAGTATATTTTTGCGTCTGATTTCGTAATTTAAAATATCATCTACACTAATTGTGTACACTACTACGTCTACAGTACTACGTTGAGCTCACCCCCTCAAGCCCTAGAACGTGAAGATCCAATCACTAGATTAAAAGTTATTCAGGGTGGCTAATTTTTTTTGACGCACTTTACTAATATTATCTTTTTGAAATATTTGCTTAAATCAATTTTTATGTATCGGCCAATTACTAAATAATTCTTTTCTTTATTCTATTACAGGATTTTACCTGTGTATACATATGTTATCCTATTCATGTTCTTGGGTGATCTCATGGGATCCGGACCAATTTGGTATGATACAACCCACAGATATATCAAAGCATGTGAGGATAACTGGTGGACTAATCTTATATTCGTCAATAACTTCTATCATGCTGCTAATATGGTAAAAACACTTCATAATCTTAACATACTTAAGATTCTTTTAGTTACTGTAAAACAACATGGAATAAATGCGTTATTCTTCTATAGTGCATTCCTCAGAGTTGGTATATGGCCTGTGATTTCCAGATGTACGTTGCTGCTATACTGATTTTAATTCCAATATTAAGGTAAGAAAGAAATAACAGTAAAAAGTCGATAGTTTCTAATCACTAAAAAAACAATATTGCATGGTAAAATTATTTAGTGAAGTTATAGATTCTAGATAAATTTTTCGTCTTCAGATTAGTTTATACTAAATCTAATAATCTAACATGAATTAATTAAAACGAAAATTAATTTATTTCATGATTAAAAACAGCGAGCGCACATCAAAAATATACAAAAATGAGAAGACAGTCGGCATGCACGTAAAAATAGGCGCTCATTTTTTATGCGCTTGAAACATGCCGACTGCCTTTTCGTTTTTAAATATTTTTCAAGCGTGTGAAAATTTCAATCAGGTAATATCTTACTGTTTCAATTTCTTGGAATTATTTGTTTAAAAATGTATTTTTGATTTTCACGCTAAAATTAGCTAGTGTGTCAATATGTATCTTTTTATAAAGCATTGAACCAATAAAATTTAAAAATTATTTAGTGGATTAAAATAGAATATACGAGGCTCATCCCGAAAGTAAGTTTCCCTAATTTATAAAAAATAATAATAATAATAATAATTAAAAAAAAAAACGATTTCGCACTTTCAGGAACATATTTATTAGCAACAACTACANCCGACTGCCTTTTCGTTTTTAAATATTTTTCAAGCGTGTGAAAATTTCGATCAGGTAATATCTTACTGTTTCAATTTCTTGGAATTATTTGTTTAAAAATGTATTTTTGATTTTCACGCTAAAATTAGCTAGTGTGTCAATATGTATCTTTTTATAAAGCATTGAACCAATAAAATTTAAAAATTATTTAGTGGGTTAAAATAGAATATACGAGGTTCATCCCGAAAGTAAGTTTCCCTAATTTATAAGAAAAAAAAAAAACGATTTTGCACTTTCAGGAACATATTTATTGGCAACAAGTACAACAATGTTTCAGTTATTTTCAACATAGCCACCACCAGAATTGAGACACTTGCCGTATTGTGGAATCAATTTTTGTATCCCTCTGTCGTAGAACTCTGCCACCTGTGAATGGAACCAACGTGTGACAGACGTCTTCAGTTCTTCGTCGTTGTCAAAGCGCTCACAGGAGGACAGGAATTTCTCGAGGTGCAAGAAAACGTGAAAATCACTGGGAGCAATATCAGGGATGTAGGGTGGATGATCAAACAACTTCCAGCCAAATTCCGTCAAAACAGCTGCTGTGCGTCATGCCGTATGTGGACAGGCATTGTCATGGAGGAGTGCAACACCTGCAGTAAACATTCCACGACTCTTGTTTTGAACAGCAAGTCACAATTTCCGCAGTGTTTCGCAGTAACGGTAGACGTCTGTCTAACGCTGGTTCCATTCACAGGCGTGAAGAGTTCTATGATATAGGGATACAAAAGTTGATCCCACAATACGACAAGTGTCTCAATTCTGGTGGTGGCTATGTTGAAAAATAGCTTAAACATTGTTGTACTTGTTGCCAATAAATATGATATGAAACTTACTTTCTGGATGCTCCTCGCATTTCAATTAATAAATAAAACAAAACTGTAACTTAACTTTTTAAATAAATATAAAAAAGTCACGAATGTATAGTAGATAAGGCACTGAGCTACCATAGAGAAAAGTTGGAATTTTGATCCCGGTGCAACTCAGCTTTAGATCGATTAACATTAATTAGCTTGTTCGAAAAGTGAAGGTCAGCGGTGTGCAATGCTGGCCACACTGCCCTCATTTAGTCACGAAGTTGCGGAGAAAAAAAAACCTCTTCTTCATGAGCACCATAGTATGTTAGAAAGGAGGAAGTAGATTCGTTTATTTTCGGAAGAGGACCCTTAAATCAAAAAATTAAAAAATAAAATATAAATTTCTGATTTTTTATTTATATTTTTCATTCTTAACTGGTGATCGAAAAAAATTAAATGTAAAAATCTTTGATATTATTTGCGCTTTATTGATAGTAAAAATCGAAAACTTTACTGAAAATTCTTCCATCTATGTATTTTTTCCTCATTGAATTGATAGAAAAATCAATAAAATAATTTTTTTTTGCAATGCTCTAATGCAGTGTTCCCGAACCCCTGGTCCGTGGATCAAATCAGGGCTAAAGTGGTACCGGGCAGCCAATTTCATTGAAACTGAATTTATATTTCTAGGTTTATACCCCAAATTAAAAATATTTGTGTTCCATTAAAATTTTTTGGAAAAAAAAAGAAAACCACCGCAACTATTTTCTTCTACAAATAGTTTTAATAAAAAAAACAATCATCATAACTGTAAATATCATAAATAAAACACGAAAGTACGGCGCGAAATTTACATTAAAACTAGTGAAGAACTTCGTCTTCTCTCACGATCATGATTAATTGATTTGAACAGGGGTACTAGAACAGGGGTTTCCAACTCACATGAGGCCGTGGGCCGCAATTAAAAACACCAGTCAAATGGAGGGCCGAAACTTCATCAAAACTTTATATAGGACTCTTTTATGTTTGAAGGAACATTAAATATTACTGGCAGATGCGTACATGCTAAATTATTTTCACAAAAAGAGGAAATAAAAAGAGTTTATTATTTTTGTATTTGAATAAATATTTTCTTGGGTGCAAAACCTGAGAAATAAATCTTCTTGCACCGTTGGTGCGTTAAATTTCACCGAAACGAAGAAATTAGGTTTTTTAAGCGAATGAAAAGTATTTAAAAGAATTTTAAACCTATACAGATGTTTTGCGAAAATTGCTCGCAAAAAAATTATAACTAATATATTTTAGCTCTTGGGCCACGAAAAGAGGCTTCGTGGGCCGGATGCGGCCCACGGGCCGCCAGTTGGTAACCACTGTCCCAGAAAGTTAAAATGTTAAATCACTTTATATATATTTTTTGGTGTAGCTGTATTTTATTTTGAAGGTATGCTTAAATACAATTAAACTAAAATTAATTAATCAAAATAATCTAAAATATGAGCAATCACCGCCCCCCCCCCCCGTCATTGGGCGGCGGTAAAATTATCAAACATTGATAAAAAGGTTGGGGAACACTCGATACTCTAATGCGTAAAAGTAGTATATTTTTAATGAACTTACATTTATTTTTAATTTATAAGAAGACAAATTAAAATGTTAATTTAAGACATAGTCTTATTTAAAACTTAATGCTTTACATAAGTTTGAATTTAAAATGTACTTATTAAATGCTCGATGTTTTGTTTTCAGATGGCCAAGAGTTGGCTTATCTATGTGTGTAGTAGTGATTGTTTCATCGATTTTATATTGTGGAATCGGAACTTACGTGAATAATTATCCTCCTACAATGTTATTTGCCCATCCTGATCCAGAGTAAGTAAAAATACGAGTCATACATTTTTACTTGCACTGAATGATTTCTATTAAGTAACTTATATTAGGCCATTTTATTTTAAAAGTTTTGTCTTTTATTTAAAATTTCTAATTATAATAAATCAATTTTCGCTAAGCATTTCACGCAGTTTAACTAAAATATTTAACTGAAATTCTAATACTTTATTTTAGCATAAATTTTAAACCTTGATACATGTCATGTTTTTTTTGTTAATCCTATTAGTTTGAGTTATAAATAATGGGATTTATGCTCGAAACTTTTTTGAAGTAAAAGTTTTATTTAGTGTACAACTCTTAACTGTAGTGCAAAATGTTTTTATTTCACTTTTAATTTATAATAGAGAGCTTTTAGAGCCTTGATGGCTCAGGGGATAGAGCGCTCGCCTTCAAATGATGTAAACCGGGTTCGAATCTCAGCTATGGCTGGTCGATACGAATTCCGCATCCGGCTTGCACTGATAACAGTGCTGACGCAAATTATTGTGAGTGGTAGACGGATCATGGGTCAGAGTCCCCGTGCCTTCAGGCTAACCGTGGAAAGTTTTTGTGGTTTTCATCTCTATGTAACAGAAATGCTGGTTAATTCTATTAAAAAGTCCTCCACTAATATAAATTTCTCCCAATACTTTATTAAGGAGTTCCCTTGTCTTCTAGATTCTGTTCAAAATTACAAGGATGTGGAGTTGAACATTAGTAGTCGTAAACCTCCAAACAATTGGATCGTCTGTTAAACTATGGTTTTAAAACATAAAAATAAAATCTAGAGTTTTTGCGTTACGTTACTGTTTACCGCCAACGTAAACGCTAATTAAGCTTCACAACACATCGTAAAAAAGTATCGTGTGCCTTTAAGTACAGCGTTTGCATTATGTTCGGTAAAACTTTATAGCTATTTCTCAAAAGCCGCACATTTTAATGTGTGCGTTGAAGTGATTGAGCTGTGCGCAGTTTGTTTGTGTTTCCGAAAACTTTTTTATTTGTTTTATTTTCATTAATTTCATTTTTTCGTTATTTTTATTATTTTTGGTTTTTATTATACTTTTTTTAAAGTATGAATAACTTGTTGAAATTGGTATAATAGAGGGGAAAATAGAGAAAGCGCTTTTGCTGAATGTGTCACATTTTCGGCAAGAAATAAACTGAATAGTGTAGAGTGCATTTTATTTAACATGGAAGAATACTTTTTTATAACTATGCAATTTCAACTTAACTGCAGTTCATTTTTTTCTCAAATTAATATTTTACTATTTATTAGATGATTTTTGAATAATATTAGGAAAGTAAGAAATTCATGTTTGTATAAAAAAACTGCTTATTAGTTTGTTGTGTGCTATTTTTAATATGATTTATGTCAGTGTTTACCAAAGTGTGGTACGCGTACCCCCTGGGGTACGGGAACAATTTAGCTGGAGTACGCATTCTCATGCGAAATATCTTGCAAGAAATGAAAATTTCAAAAAAATTTACTTAAAAACAAAGCTTGTCATGAAAATTTAGGATTACGTATTTTTCTATTGGCTATTTTTTGCAGAGTTAACAGTTAATAATTAGTGCTGTCAACAGCCAGTTGTGATTTTTAACTTTTGTGCAATTTTTTTCAGTAAAAAATTCATTCGCTTTTTTATTAGTGGTACTCAGCGTTATGAAAAATTTAGAAAGGGTACACAAAAGTCATAAGATTGGGAAACACTGCTTTATGTTAAGCAATATTAATTGCAGAAAAATCATTTTATTCCTGAGCTTATTACATATCTTTTTAGAAAGAGCAAATAGAAGCAGAAATTGATTAGTCTTGGAATAAATTTGGTAATAGGCACTAATTGAAATTTAAAAAAAAAATAATAAGCTATATGCTGAAAAGCAAAACTAATGGAAAAATGGTATACTACTCTGATAAAGAGGAACGTAAAAAAATCACTATACTATAATAGTCGCCAATAATGCTCAATTAAATTTAGTCATAGGTTCTGAATGAAATGAAAAATTGAGCTTTTTACTGGTTATCTAATTTAATAAGCGTTACAAAATAGTAAAAGTAGTTAGTTTAAAAAACGTAAGAAATCGCCTTGTTCTTATTGAAATACTTCTAAAGCCTTTTAGAAATGAAGACAAAATTTTAAGTACCAATCCTTATATTTTAATTTTATTGAAAATGTGAACATATATCTTAAATGAAGCTTATTCTAATTGCAATATATATTGTACTCCTCTGTTCCTTCTGATCGATCGCATGGTGAGGCAATTTTAAGAAAAGAGAACAACAGTGTGAAAATACAAATTTCGTAATAAAAATACCATTTTTATACTTAGTACAATTTTGATCCCAATCCGCAAGACAAGAGAACTCCTGAATTCAGTATTGGGAGAAACTTGTCTTCGTGGAGAACTTTTTGAAGGAACTACCTGCATTTACGTTACATGGAGAGGAAAGCCATGAAAACCTCCCAAATTTAGCCTAGTGGCAAGAGGAATCTAATCCAAGATCCATTTAATTTAGTACGACTGGTATTGCCGTTATAAGTATTCTGGAAATAAGAATCTATTATACTAATATGGGTAATGTGGTTATAGGTATTTTACCACCCACCGAAGCAAATAAGTATAGTAATATCATCATATTACACCTTCATTGCACATGCTACACATTTTCTTAAATACTTTTATTATTTGCTGTATTTTTATTATTTGCTGTACTTCATACTATTAGATTTACCATAATATGAGTTAGGAATTTAAGTCACTAAAAGAAAGATTAACTTCACTTATAGTATCATTTAATTTGTGATATTTCAAAATTAATGCAATTTTCCTAAGGGGTAATAGATAACCTCAAATTTTATTTTGTTAGTTCAACTTGAGATTCCATTCTTTAAATTTACAGAGATTGAAGCTATCTATCCCTGCGCCCACGGTGGTTCAGAGAAGAGAACCTTTGCCTCATAACGCGGTGACTTGGTGTTCATCCCAGCGGTGATAGGTTGATACAAATTCAGCTGCCGGTTCGCACTTACAGTATTGACATAAAATATCCTCAGTAGTAGATGGATCATGGGTTGGAATGCAGTTGCCATCGGGCTAAACATGTCAGATTTTCATGGTTTTCTACTCCAAATAACACAAATGCGAGTTAACTCCATAAAAAAGTCCTCCAAGTAGGCTAGTTTGTCTCAATTCTTGATTTAAGAACACCCTCGTCTTCTGGGTTGAATTCCAAAATTACAATGCTACGCTGTTGAACCATGATAGTCGGCTTGGACCAGACTTGGACTCAGATTTGGGTCAGCTGTTCGAAAAGCCGGTTATAAAAAGAAACACGTCATTTTATATAATTTTTAAAATAATAAATCAATAAAATTATCATCATACAGCGCGAAATTATTAATGTTGATTTTACTTATGATAGCCTAGCATAGGAAACCATAGATTCATACTTTAGAGAAACATGCGATAAAACTTATTTTCCATTGTTTCGAGTTGCAAATCCCATAGAAAACTGTCTTTGGGATAAAGCATGTGAAACAGTGATCGGATGTGGTATTAAAGTAGACAGTTAGGTTCTCCGTGTTAATTGTTTCTACGGTTTAGGTTAGAATTGCAGGTTTCTGTAAGGTGTATGGGCACACATGCATGTATTATGCTTTATTTATATGGGTCTATTAGATTTCATTTATTTTATTTTATTTTTATTAAGCATTGTGGACAATCTATTTTCAGGCAAAGAATAGCATATTGGGCTGATTTCTACTTCCAACCATTTGTGCATGCTGGTCCTTACTGTATTGGTATGATAGCTGGGTATATACTTGCTACGAAACCAGATTTGAAACTATCTAGGGTAAGTATTTCAATATAATTACAATCTAGTTGCTTCTATCTTTCTCTATGTTCTAGATACTTCCACATCTAGATGCTTCCATCATCTCTGCGTTCTAGATACATGAAAGAAAGCTGGGTTAGCCGATTCATTTATTTAGTTTCATTCGAAAAAGCAATTCTGTTTCAGAGTTGGAAGTTCCTCAATTTTAATACATAAGTATCAAGAAAATATAATTACGAACACAAGTAAATAAGAAAATTATAATTACATACAAATGTATAAATTCAAACTAATTGCCTTCAGACTCCAAAGCAGATTGGATTTTGTTCAAAATAGGATGATTGAAATCCGAATTACTTTCTTCGCCTAGCCTTGTTTTAACAAATGATTCTGTTTAATGACAGATAATTTATCGTTTTAGATATGAAGGTATTTTTTTAAACCGTATCCTCGAAACAACTATCTAATTATATTAACGTTGTTTGGAGGCTTATTGCAACGTTCAAACCTAACAGATTGGTGAAGAAAAACTTGTTACATTTGATCTGAATCTAAAGTAACCTGATCTGATTCGAATTGACCGATCATCGGTAGGATTTGAACCCGGGTTACGTCTTTGGGAAACCAAAGTATTATCCCTTGAGCCACAACGGCTCAACTTTTGAATATTGGAGAACAGGGTGATAACTTTACAAGTAAAGTGTTGAAATAGGGTACTCTATTGGGTGCAATTGTCAAAGAGCCTAAAATTGCTTTATTTCTCAAATTACCTCGGAATAATCAGCAAACTACCTACATCATCTACTAAGCTCTCCTTAAATTAAAAATAAAATCTTCGTTGGAACATAGCAAAGTTTCTGCATGCTTAAGTTATTATAATGTTTTTTTTTAAATTTATTTTTGGCTCTAAATCAAGCCAATCAAACAATTTACAAACTAGTTAATGAGGGAAACAAACTTCTAAGTTTAACGACCCTGAAGCCGTTAGTCGGCGCATTACCTAGATAAAATATAGATAAAAATTTATTCCCATTTTTAACAGAACAAATCAGCTATTTTGCAGATAGGTATTATTATAACCATCCTTGAACAGCCAACCCCATTTTTTGGTTTACGACTACTAATGTTAAACTCCGTAGCTTTGTAATTTTGAACTCAACCCAGAAGACAAGAGAACTCTTGTATCAATTATTGGGAAAAATTTGCCTTCGTGGAGGACTTTTTTGGCGGAGCTAACCCGCATTTGCGTTACATTGAGAGGAAGACCACGAGAGCCTCCCACGGTCAGCCTGATGGCAAGGGAACTCTAACCCATGATACACTCTTTGAACTAGAAACAAATATCACTGATTTATCAATATGGAGTGCATTATGTTTTGGTCCTAGACTAGACCAGATGTAAATTTCAAATTGTGTTTTGAATAGTCATTTCAAACACTTATGAATGTGTAATCAAATATATTGTCACGTACTACCAGAATATGGTAAAATTGACCGTGGTTTTGGCTCTATGGAAACACCAAAATATTTGCCAATTTTTAATGCAACGTTTTTGTAATAATTTTGGTAAAATTAAAAATAAAATATGGTTTTATAATTTTGGTAAAATAAAATAAAAAATAAAATATGGTTTTATAAAATTTGGCAAATGTGGTAAACTTTCGAAATTTTATCGTGGAGCAATTTTAATTAGGTAGTTTTATCGTTATTAGAGCATGAAATGAATATTATTTATTCGATTAAATTTACTTCTCAGTCTTATACTTTTACTAAATGAGTGGTAATAAGAATTATAATTTCAAAATCCAAACTTTCCGGCACACCGTTACCATATGAATGGAAAGAATACCAAATGAGTGGTTTAAAAGCCATATATTTTGGCTTTATTAATCAGAACTATGTTTTATTACCATATAATCACTAAGGTAATTTTACCACATTTTTTTTTCCGTCCAGGGTTCGTAATGACAGGCGATTTGTTCGTAATGACAGACAAGACTGTTTTTTCGAAGGAGATAATACAAAGTTTGTTGTTGTCAGTTTAAGTTACGAGAACATTTAATCGCGTCAAGTTTAAAAATTATTTATACTGTTTACCAGTGGATGACGCGGCTTATAACAATTAGACATTGTTTTTAAACAGACACCACTAGTAGCAAATTGTTGATGCAATCTCAGAAAAAAATCAAAGCACCCTTCAAACATTTCAATAGTAATGGCACGCAGCAAAAAACATCAATCTTGCCGATAAACATCACCATATTCTTGTGACTAATTTTTTAGTTTCGTGAAAATACTTTTTCTAGTTACCTGTAAGTTCAGAAAAATGTCATTTATAACTATCTATAGTATTTTAAAATGATTTTTATAAACAGTCAGCCATTTTTAAGACTTTCAGTAAATTTGTGGATATTTTGAGGACAAAATTATTGATTTAATTAAATTTGTTTTAATTTCCCTTTTCAAGTTAATAAATTTGACTATATGAATAATAATAATTTCCTTCTGCTCTATCTATATAATGTTCAATTCTGTAGCAAAATAAAGAGCAAAATCTTACATAAATCGAAAATCTTCCATCCTGAAATACAATTAATTAAACAAAAAAATAAAAAATAAAAAAATCATGGACAATATAGTCACTAAATAATATTTTATATATTACAGACGGTGCAGGTGATTGGTTGGAGCTTGGCTTTCATTTCAAATTTTTCTGTCCTCTACGGTGTTATTGACTGGAACCGAGGACGTGATCCTTACTTATGGGAGGGATTGATGTATGCCAGTCTTAATAGAGTGGCATGGACATATGGAGTGGCTTGGATTATTGTGTGCTGCGCAACAGGGCACGGAGGTAAGAAAATACTATTCGTCAAAAAAATTTTACTACATATTGTTAAACCATATGATCATATTCTCATAGTTTTGACCATACTTTTTTTTCCAGTGAGAAAATATTATTGTGTGACAATTTTGATACTTCTACGCCATTATTATTTGCTTGTTTATGTGCATTCATAGCGGTTCTTTTATTTATCTAATTCTCACTATTCTTTCTAACATTGTCTAAAACTACATTAAAATACATAAAATGATTTAAAATATAACTGTTTGATAGATGTTTAAGAATTTGGAGACCATGTCGACCTCGTCAAAATAAAAGAATTGTAATAAATTTAGGAAAGTTATATTTAAGAATGCAGTTTTTGACAATTATAACAGAACAAAAATTTGAAATAATTTAAATAACGTTCACGTTGGTAGCAAATAATTGAAATATCAAGAGTCTGAGCTGTCATGAGCATGACAGAGTAAAAGTAGATGTTTAGAAATTTCTAAATGAAAATTCTTTTTTCCCCTAAACAACAAAAAGCTGAAACAAGCTAAGCTTATACACTGGGAAGAATTGAAAGGTTAAAAGCGAATGATTCGTATTAACAAAAAACGTGCTCTATATCATATTTTAGTTATACTGCAGGTAAACAATATTAATTTTATGCATTGTTATCGTAATCAAAGGAAAAATGAGTATTGGTTTTGGTATAATGGATAAGCTTTTTAAGTGTAATAAAAAAAGCGTGCTTGAAGAGCAGAAGAAGAACATTTAAAAACTGTGTATGAGCAGCTCAGTTAAACATTATGTTATTTTTTAAAACGCATAATTGCTTTGTTTCTGCAAATTTTTCTATTGGATGTCATTTATTTCAATTTAATTTTTCTTATGTCAATTACTTATCATTGGCTAAAACTTAAAGTATTTTTTAAAAAATAAATTAATTTTTATGATTTTAATAACTTACGAGGGGCCTCCAGAAAGTAAGTTTCCCTATTTTCTTTAAAAAAAACAAGAACTCACACTTTGAGGAACATATTTATTGACAACAAGTACAGCAATGCTTCAGCTATTTTTCAACATGGCCACCACCAGAATCTAGACACTTGTCGTATCAAAAAATCAACTTTTGTATCCCTCTGTCTTAGAACTTCACCGCCTGTGAATGGAACCAGCGTGTGACAGACGTCTTCAGCTTTTCGTAGTTGCCAAAACGCTCACCGGAGGACAGGAATTTCTTGAGGTGCAGGAAAACATGAAAATCGCAGGGAGCAAGATCAGGGCTGTAGAGTGGATGATCAAACAACTTCCAAGCAAATTCCGTCAAAACAGCTGCTGTGCGTCAAACCGTATGTAGACGAGCATTGTCATGGAGAAGCACAACACCAGCAGTAAGCATTCCACTCCTGTTGTTTTGAATGGCACGTCGCAATTTCTGCAGTTCCGTTGAAGACGTCAGTCACACGCTGCTTCCATTCACAGAGGGATACAAAAGTTGATCCCACGATACGACAAGAGTCTCAATTCTGGTGGTAGCTATGTTGAAAAATAGCTGAAGCATTGCTGTACTTGTTGCCAATAAATATGTTCCTCAAAGTGTGAGTTCTTTTTTTTAAAAAAATAGGGAAACTTACTTTCTGGATGACCCTCGTATTTTAAATTCATCAGAATTTACGCTAGAACACATTTCAAATGAGTTAAGTTAAGTAGCGAGCAAAACCCATTTCTAAAGCAAACCGAGATTGCATATCAAACCATAGAGTTAAAAAGGGCCAGCAAACACGGATAGGAACAATCTACTATTTTCATGTAAAATGCTTATGCTAATGTGCTTATGTGAATTGATACGTTTATGTGTATAATTATCCTGCTAACATTTTTCAATTACTTTTAGGAGTGATAAATTATATCCTTTCATGGAAAGCTTTTGTACCACTAGGACGGCTAACATTTATTGTGTACCTGATACATCCTATAGTACAGATAGCCGTAGTGGGAAATGTTCGCACGCAGATTCAACCAGACCACTTCTTTGCTGTAAGTTACAAATTCAACAAACACATAACAAATCCAACACATATTTCTCTTATACAAGCTGCTTCTTAAGCATCACCCTTAGTAATTTAGAATAATTATAAAAAAAGTAAAAACAAAATAAGTACACACATTGGGGTCACATGCGGGGACAAAAAATAAACACGATCAAAATATCATGAAATATAGTAGAGGAAGGCGTGTGTAGTAAAAACAATAAAAGGTTTTATTGGAGGTTGAAACTTAATAGCGTTTCCAATAATCAACTTTCTGTTTCCCCTCGCAATCAAAACTGCTTGATTTTGTAACTGTCGTTGAACAGCCGATCTAATTGTTTTTGAGTTGCGACTACTAATTTTCGACTCCGTAGTCTTGTAATTTTGAACCCAATCCAGAAGACAAGGGAACATCTGAATCAAGTATTGGGAGAAATTTGCCTTCGTGTATTTCTTGATGGAACTAATCCGCATTTGCGTTACATGGAGGGGAAAACCTCGAAAATCTCCCACTGTTAGCCTGATGGAAAGGGGACTCTAACCCTTGATCTGTCTACCACTGAGGATATTTCATGTTAGCACTGTGGACGGTGCGAGATTCGTATGGACCATCCATCGATGGGATTCGAACCCGGTTCTCCTCATTAGAAGGCAAACGCTCAACCCCCTGAGCCACCACTGCTCAAACTGCCTTATTTGTCATGACATCAACCCTCCCGTTCTGTGATTTGTGAAAATTTGATTGCCTTTCTGTATTTTTCGGTCTTTAAATAATAATTTTTGACAAAGCAGTAACTGATTTGTTTTTTAAAATTTATTTTACTGTGAGGGCACATTATATAAATGACCCACATTTTAAATTAGTTTTCAAAAATTGAAGCACAATATTTGAAATAAAAAAAAGAGGAAGAAAAGAAAAAGCAATCCGAGTATATAAATATTCCCTTTTTCCGTTTTTCCCTTTTTTTCAATGTCTTTTTTGTGCTAACTAAATATTTAAAAAAATTTTGCAGAACGCAATTTTGAATCTCATGTTACTACAGAACCGTTGATGATAGGGCTCTGAAACTCGGGTATCACCTACGAGGAGCAAATTTAGCTCCGATCCGAAAAATTGTTCAAAAGTTTCAACTATCCCGTACTGGAGAAATGTTCACAAAATGATTTATTTGCATTAGTTTGACATTAGCCATTGTTATAAATAAAACTGTAAACGATTTATGTTTAAGGTTCCATGGCGCATTCTGTAATGTTTAGTTTTACAAATTCACATATCAACGTGAATCGCACGATGATCGATGCTACGTCACCAAATTCGCATTTCAAATGTTTTCTGATACTATGTCTATATGTTGTATGTAGTACCATATTTACATGTAGTTGTACTTTTAAAACGTGTTTTTTGAAGAAGAAAAAATATTATGCAATTTGTTTTCTTCAAAAACTTAATATAGACCAATTCAAAAAAATATGAAAAAAAATTAGTTTGAAAGTTTTAAAAAGCAATGGGATTTGCAAGAAAAAGTAATCAACAAAATATTGCTAGAAGACTTTTGAAAATCGAGTTTATATAGTCTAAGCTAATTTTTCAGACATTGTGTTCATTTTAAATAAAGTTTACCTCAAAATGTGCAACAAAAATTTCTTATAAAGAAAGCAATTAAAAATCGGTGATTCATTTGGGTTTGTTATTTTTATTAGAAAACCACAGACTTTTTATCTGCATCTCTTAAAACTTTTATAATAAATTCTAGCAACACATTTTAAGATAAACTTCGTATAAAATAGCATTAATACCTGGAAAATTAACCAAGATAATAAAAAGTAGTTTTTAATAAGTTACACGCAATATTTTAATTTTTACTTTTCCGCTTAGAGATTTATTAAGTCTTATAAATTAATATAATAGTTTTACTATTTATGTATCTAAAAATTATTATTATATAATTAAGTAAATATTATTGCATATTGGATTTTTTATGGTGCAAAATTGCACGTTAAAATTGATTTTACGGTTAAAAGAACTGGCTCCCTCAGTGCGCTGATACTTTTTACCGTAATTTGATCCGAGTGTAGACTTTAACAGTTGGTGCATAAAAGCGGACTAAAAAACCGTATTTATAAGTAGATATGCTTTTAAAATGGTTTTTGTACATTTAAAGCGTTAAAAACAATAAAAATATTTAAACGTTTCTGATATCGATTTTGCTGTACTAGAAAAAGAAGCAAACTTTTTACATTACTTTTTTCTTGCTTTCAGGTGTGGATATATTTTGGACATTTATGCGTCACTTACGGAACAGCATTTGCAGGAAGCATGCTTGTTGAGTCACCCTTAATGTCTCTTGAAAAAATATTTCTAAACAGAGATAGCAGAAAAAGAGACGAGGAAGCACCTGTTCGCAAAAACAGTGTCCTAAATGGAACTCTGAAAACGGAGAAAAATGGCGATATTGCTTCCATTGTGCCAATAGATTCTGAAGATTCTATGGGAGTAGACAATGCCGCCATTGTATATAGGCTATAAAAACCAAAGTTATGAGCAATTATAACGTCACATCACGTGATCTAAAATTGCCAGAATAACGTTATTATATGTTCCATGAAGTGTTATTTTGTGTGGTTATACAACATCGCATCATGAGATCTCTAATGGTCCCAAAAACTTTATGCTCCATGAAATGTTATCTTGTATACTAATATATAGTCACATCATGCAGCTTCACTTTCGCAATAATCCTGTGTACTAAGATAACCTCATAATATGTAGCTGATAATGGTCACAAAAACCTCATTATATGCCTCATGGAATGTTACGTCATGTACTAAAAATAAAGTCTGATCATATGGTAGCAAATAATTGCGATAAGTTACTAAGCAAATATTTCAATAAATACTACAAACTGTTGATACTAAGTATACTAAGAAAGAGTCACATAATGCAGCTTCATTTTCGCAATAATCTATGTGTACTAACATAATTTCACAGCATGCAGCTACTAATGATCAAAAAAATTTTATTATATGCCTCACGAAAGGTTATGATGTGTACTAAATATAACGTCGAATCATGTGGCAGCAAATCAAATCGATAACAAATATTTTAACAAATACTATGAACTGTTGATAGTTTTTATGATACTATATTTCATTGACTGAACAGACCATTTTCCCAGAGTTTACAAGCTCTTACGAGGATGAAGTTATCTTATTAAATATAAGTTTTTATCAAATCATGTCGTAAAAGGTCGCAAATTAAATGTTAATGCTGGTCTGAAATTAATATCAAGAACTAAATAAAATTTTTTGGAAAAGTTGTTTTATGGTATTAAGAAACCAGTCTCGAGCCATCGTTACGAAGCGGAAGTGAAATTGTTGATAAATGAACATAGTATGACAACATAAATGGTAGCAGAGGCTTTCATTGGTTTATTTCTCTGCGAAACTATAATGGTTCTTTTAAAAATAACACTTCAAGAGACGTAAATAGTTTGAGGATGCGCTGTGGAAAATGTATAAAAATGTAAAAACTTATGAAGAGTATCATAAAAAGAAAGTTGCAATGACATTTTTTGTGACGTAGCTAAACTGAGTTTGTTAATAATGTGACTGTAATTCTGTGATAGATTTCTGCTTTTCTGCTGATATTTAGTTACTGAAATGTGTAAACATTTCAAACCTGCAAATTGAAACTTGGTACAAAACATTTCCTTTTTATTAAATTACAAAATATATTTCTCTATTTCACTATGTTTATAAACTAGTAATACTAAGTTAAATAAATTTTAAGGTAACGTCATATCCTCTTGATACCTAATGTTCGTTTCATATAACTTTATTGTTAAAAAAGTAATATTTAAAGATGTTTTTTTCCGTTTTTATGCTTTTACAAAACGATTTTCAGTGTCAAAATATAATCGGATTTAATTTAGTAGGTCTGAGATTTTAAATTACAAGGTTAGGGATTTGATTTAAGTATCCTCTTGAACAATTTTTGGCTTATTAATATCTTGTTATTTGAGTCTAGTGGATTTTTTATATGATCAATATATCTTAAGAAATGTATTATAAAAATATCCTAGAATATCAAAAAATGCTAAAATATTTAAATTAATCATTTTTATGTAATAACTAATAAAAACTAATAAAGTTAATGAGGTTTAATTAATTGAAAGTCTTAAAAATATCTATAATACTCACTTAGCGCTTCTAAACTACATATTTCGAAGTAAAAATTCCCTTTTCTGCCATTCCCAGTTCATGTCCCCGGAGGATATGTAATTGTAAGAGACTATCGGAACAACAGTGAGAAATTATATTTTTATGCAGGTTGTTATATAATTTTGAATATGTTATATAATTATGAATGAAACTATTTTTAAAGTATTCGCATTTGATTACACGAAATTTTAAACATAAATGCATATTTACAAAATATTTGAGAAATACATACAATTATTTCTTTATAAGCACAATAATACAATTATTGAATAATGTTCCTAAGATCACGTTTTAAAACGATTTAATAATTATTTATTTTTTAAAGACTTTCAAAATATTCAACTAATAGAGTCTTACGATTTTTAAGGCATAAATTTTATAAAAGTCGTAAACAAATACACTGCAGTTTGTGTTTATTACATTTTTTCCCTGCAAATTTATTTTAAACTTCATTTATGTTTGAGATAATAAATCACATGCAAAGCTCATTTAAATAAACAACTTTTTAACGTAAGAGGACTGCATATACCTAGTTCAGAAACTTTTAGAGTGGTGTGAGAAAACAAATAATTTCCATGAAACTTTAAATACTTTTTATTTAAAAATTATTTTTTAAGTATCATGAGTTAAAATTGATTCTATATTTTAATTATAGTCATTAGCTTCTAAGAAATTCCAACATTCGTACAAGTGCATGCAATAAGAAATTCAACAAAAAAAATATGAAATAATTCCTAGAAATAATATAAAATTAAATTATTATTGTAATAACTTTTTCTTAACTTGAACAAATCATAGTTTTTTGATTATTTTAATGTTTTTTACATGATTTTTAACTTATGATTTATCCAAGACATCAAATACATGATGATAACAAGACATATAAAACAGATAAATTTAATAAAATTTGTTGATTTCAAGATATTAATAATCACATAAATCTATTTTAATACACTACATGCTTCGAGAAGATTCTAAATGTAAATGCTAGAAAGTTGAAAATCACCCAGAATTTCTTTTAAAATTTTAAATTAGTGAACCAACAGTTTATGCAACTTTTAAAACTTTTATATATTACTTTAAGTTTGTGTCGTTGAACTATTTTAAACACTCATACATTTATATGGAATTCAGCATGCCACATTAATTGAGTTTTATATAAAAAAGTGTTACATAACTGTAAGGTTTAGCATATTTTATTTTTGAGAATGTAATTCAAAAAATATATTTTTTAAAAGTAAAAGTTGAAAAAATGGTTCATTTTGTATGATTTTAGGCAGATTTTCAATACCTAATTAAAATGATTATGACATGATTGATTTTGCAAAAGAGTTTTGAGTTGGCATTCAAAAATCTAATTCGTTTGAAATAAGTCAATCAGTTAAGAGTTAAGAACAAATTAAGTTTAAAATAATTAATTAGGTATTAATTTTTTTTATTGCGTATATGTTAAATGTAGAGACGACATAAAATTAACAATCAAAATAAATATAGCTTTGCCAAAAGTAAGTCAAGCTTATGTACCTTTAAGTAACTGAAAATGGTTATTCAACGGGTAAATTATTAAATATTGTGTAATAAGATATCAAAAAATTGCTTTGTAATTTAAGAGAGGTATTGCTTTATAATTTAACTGAAGGCATAAATTCCCGTAATTTTAAGCCTATAGTTTTATGCCTTTCATTTTGAAAAATATTGTTACTATGCATTTGCTGCTTTCTTTCTTAATATAGATATAGAAAAACTGACTAAAATAAAATACGTTAACTACAAGTTTTATGACAGTTAAAAAAGCAGCAATACATGTAATTTAAGCATATCTGAAATCAAAATAAAAAAGAGATTTAAAAAAACTGTTAAATAATATGCATAAAAAATTTACAGGTGAATAACAATATAACATTTCGATTTTGCGTTGATGATAACCAAATATTTTCGGATTTTCTATGTTAAACCCATATGATTTTTCCGTCCAATAAGAATGCAACAACAACAATGAAAAACGGTTTTAGACCACTATCTTTTTACTTCAGATAGAGTTATATCTTGAAATAATTCGTATATGATTAGTCGGTGTGTTATGTCTTTGTTATTCATTCTAAATATTTTATTGACTCAAAAAATTGATGGAATTTGTAATGCTACATAAAAATTGATTTCGGACAATATAATTTTAGACGATTTTTCTCTGTTGTTTAAAATTCTTTTTAAGAAAATTTCAGAATTTTATTTTTTATTAATCTTTTTAATAGTTACAAGCTATATTTCGGTTATAAAAATGTCGAATAAAATTCTTTATTTGAAAACTTAAAAGAAATACAAATGATAAAATTAAAAAAAATTTTTTTTGATGATAACATGCTGCTTTTTCAATGATGTATTACAGATGTTTCAAAATTAATTTATTTGATATAAATTTTTCTTCTTCCTTTTTTTGTAATTTCATGTTTTTTTATTTAAATGTAGTACTGTAGTTATTTCAATTTAAAATTTATTGTGCAACTATTTTATGAATGCTTTTATGTTCTATTATTTACTCTATTTATTGTATTCAAATAATATGTAATATATAAATGTATATGGTTTCCTATATTTTCATGACTTGCAAGAAAAATTTCTAAAGTTCCACTCTTCAATCCTATTTAATTTTTGTGTATGACATTTGAGTACAAATATGTTGAAACGTATGAAAAAATGTTTATTTTTGCATCGATTATGAAGATATTTAAATTCAAAGAGACACATTTTGTTCAGAAAAAGATTGCGTATTTCTGCATTTCTTTTAAAATTAAATTACGAAAATAAAAAAAAAACACTTGCTAGTAATTTGTCACTTAGATTATTGATCACAGTGTTGTCAGTGTTACGGTAATACATTTTTAAAGCAATTTTTTGAAAACAATAACTTTATGCATACATAACACAGTATACAATGGAAACGAGTACAGAAAATTTGCATTTTACTTTATTTCTTATCTAAATTATCTATCTATTTTTATCTAAATTAATGATATTTTCAGATTAAATTTTCCACACAAATTTTACAAAATTTTTTAAGATGCTTTCCTAGGTATTTGAAATTAAGTCTCATTATGTGTAGTAGCTTTTAAAGTATTAAATAAACAAATTTAAAAGTACCCGTATAAAAGTTTTAATTTTGATGCTTTTGCATAAATTGTGCCGCTAGACTCAATCTAATATGAGAGAATATTTAATATGATATCATTTAATTTTAAAAAAAAATATAACTTATACATTGAGAAAAAAGTATAGTCATTAGACTATGGTAAAATTTACTGCATTTTTCAGCTCGATGGGAACATTAAAATGCAATTATACCATAACTCTTTCGTAATATGACTTCGCAAGATGAGGAAATCATCTTTCATTTTGTAAAAAAATAAAAAAATAAATTCCCCTCATTTTAAGAATAAAGAACGTTAGACACGTGTATTTATTTTTTAACATTATTCTCAAAACGTGACGTCACCAAGCAAAATAACAATTCTTAATTAAAGAAAATAACTACAAATAGCACTTTTACTATTACTTTAATACTTGAATAAATCCAAAAGGTTTTCTCTATATTTTTGAAATTAACTCTTGAAAACAAATGCTTTGTTTACAGAAT